AGTCAATGAGGAGAAGAATGCCTTAAGAAGCAGAATTAGCCAAATGGAAAAAGAAGTCCAAAAGCTTATTGAAGAAAATAATTCCTTAAAAATTAGAATGGAGCAAATGGAAGCTAATGACTCTATGAGAAATCAAGCAATTATAAAACAAAACCAAAAGAATAGAAAAACAGAAGACAGTGTGAAATATCTCATTGGAAAAAACAACTGACCTGGAAGATAGATCCAGGAGAGATCATTTAAAAATTATTGGACTAGTATGGCAAAAACTAGGCATAGAGCAAAATCTCACACCATATCCCAAAATAAAGTCAAAATGGGTGCATGATTTAGATATAAAGGCTGATACTGTAAGCAAACTGGGAGAGCAAGGAATAGTTTACCTAGCAGATTTATGGAGAACAGAAGAATTCATGACCAAACAGGAGATAGAGAACATTATGAAATGCAAAATGGATAACTTTGGTTGCATTAAATTAAGAAGTTTTCGCACAAAGCCAATGCAACTAAGATTAGAAGGAAAGTAGAAAATTGGGAAAGAATTTTTACAACCATTTGAAAGTCAAATTTTCTATTTAGCTCTGACTTCTCAAGAATGAATTATACTCCTCCATGTCATTGAACATCAATTTTTCCTCCTCACTGATTACACCCAGTTTTGCTGGGTAGATAATTCTTGGTTTTAATCCTAGCTCCTTTGACCTCCAGAAGTAGAAGGGAGTAAATTATCTCACATGGGGGAAGAAAAAGCTTTAACCATGGAGGGGAAGAAGGGGGAAGTGAGAGGGAATAAGTGAACCTTACTCTCACTGGATTTGACTTAAGGAGGGAATAGCATACCCTCTCAATTGGGTATGGAAATCTATCCTACCCTACGGGAAAATGGGGGTAAGGGGATAAGAGAGTGGGGATGATAGAAGGGAGGGCAGATTCGGGGAGGAGGTAATCAGAAGCAAACACTTTTAGGGAGGGACATGGTCAAAGGAGAGAATAGAATAAATGGGGAGTGGGACAGGATGAAGGGAAACATAGTTTTTCACAACATGGTTATTATAGAAGTGTTTTGCATGACTATACAGGTATAATCTGTATCGAGTTGCTTGCCTTCTCAGTGAGGGTGGGTGGGCAGGAAGGAAGGGAGAGAATTTGGAACCCACAGTTTTAAAAACAAATGTTAAAAATTGTTTTTACATGCAACTGGGAAATAAGATATACAGGCAATGAGGTATAGAAATCTATCCTGTCCTACAGGAAAACAGAAGGGGAGGTGGATAAGAGAAGGGGGGGAGGGTGATAGAAGGGAGAACAGATCAGGGGAAGGGGTATTCAGAATGCACATGTGGGGGGAGGGGAAAGAAGGAGAGAAAATTTAGTATTCAAAATCTTGTTTAAGTGTTGAAAACTAAAAATAAATTAATTAATTTAAAAAATTTTTTAAAAAGAACAAGAACGTAAAAAAAAACGGGGAGCTGCTGAGAGGCACACTAAAACATTGCAGATGGAGCTATGAATTATTCCAGCCATTCTGGAAAGCAATTTAGAATAAAGCTTTTTAAAAAGTGGCTAATGCTCCAGCTCTTAAATTGTATTATAAAGCAGCAATCATCAAAACTACTTGGTACTGGCTGAGAAACAGAGTGGTGGATCAGTGGAATAGGTTAGGTATGCAAGACACAGTAGTCAATGACTATAGTGATCTACTATTTGACAAACCCAAAAACCCCAGCTACTGGGATAAGAACTCATTATTTGACAAATCTGCTGGGAAAACTAGAAAAGAATATGGCAGAAACTAGACATGGATCAAAATCTCACACCACATGCCAAAATAAAGTCAAAATGGGTGCGTGATTTAGATATAAAGGCTGATACTATCAGCAAACTGGGAGAGCAAAGAATAGTTTACCTGTCAGATTTATGGAGAACAGAAGAATTTATGACTGAACAAGAGATAGAAAACATTATGAAACACAAAATGGATAATTTTGATTACATTAAATTGAAAAGTTTTTGCTTAAACAAAGCCAATGCAACTAAGATTAGGAGGGAAGCAGAAAACTGGGAAAGAATTTTTATAACCAGTATCTCTGATAAGGGACTCATTTCTAAAATATATAGAGAACTAAGTCAAATTTATAAAAATATTAGTCATTCCCCAATTAATAAATGGTCGAAGGATATGAACAGGCAGTTCTCAGATGAAGAAATTTAAGCCATCTATAGTCATATTAAAAAATGCTCTAAATCACTATTGATTAGAGAAATGCAAAAATCAAAATAACTCTGAGGCACCACATCACACCTATCTAATTGGCCAACATGACAAAACAGGAAAATGATAAATGTTGGAGAAGATGTGGGAACATTGGAACACTAATGCATTGTTGGTGGAGTTGTGGAATGATACAACCATTTGGAGAGCAATTTGGAAATATGCCCAAAGAGCTATAAAAATGTGCATACTCTTTGACCCAGCAATACCACTTCTAGGGCTATATCCCAAAGAGACCATAAAAATGGGAAAAGGACCCATGTGTACAAAAATATTTATAGCAGCTCTTTCTATGGTGGCAAAGAATTGGAAATTGAGGGGATGCCCATAAATTGGGGTATGGCTGAACAAGTTGTGGTATATAAATGTAATGGAAAACTATTGTGCTATAAGAAATGATGAGTAGGTGGATTTCAGGAAAACCTGGAAAGACTTGTATGGAGTGATGCTCAGCAAAGTGAGCAGAACCAAGAAAACATTGTACACAGTGACAGCCACATTGTGCGATGACTAACTTTGATAGACTTAGCCTTTCTCAGCAATGCAAGGATATAAGACATCTCCAAAGGTCTCATGATGGAAAATGCTATCCCCATCCAAAGAAAGAATGATGGAGTTTGAAAGCAGATTGAAGCATACTATTTGCTATTTTTTTCTTCTATTTTGTTTTGTTTCCTCTTTCTTGTGGTTCCTCCTATTAGTTCTAATTCCTCCTTACAACATGACTAATGTGAAAAAAAGTTTAACAGGAATATATCAGATTGTGCACCATTTTGGGAAGGGAGGTGAGAAAAGAGAGGAGAAAAATTTAAAACTCAAAAGCTTAGGGAAGTGATTATTGATAAATCGAAGTAAATAAATTTTTTTTAAAAGTAGCTAAAATGTCAATATTCTTTAACTTGGAGAATCCAGTGCTAGGCATATACACCAAGGAGGTCAAAGATTGAAAGAGGAATCCTTTATACCAAAATATTTACAACAGTACTTTCTGTAGTTGTTAAGAAAAGGAAACAATATAGTTGGCCTCATCAACTGAGGAATATTTTTTTAAATATGGTATATCAATGTATTAGAATATTATTACTATACTGTAAGAAATAATGAAGATGAAGAATTCAGAGCAGCATGAGAAGACATCTGAACCAATGCAAAGCAAAGTAAGCAGAATCAAGAAAACAATATATACAATTACTACAACACTGTAAATGAAAAGTCCCCCAAACTCCAAAACTGAACCCAGTGTAATTGTAATGACCAAGCCCAGCCCTTAAGAAGATAACAGAAAACGCACTTACATCCCTTCTTTGCAAAATGGAATACTAGGTTGATGTGTTAGTTTTACTATAAATATTTTTTCTTTTTTTTAAAAATTCTTTGTTACAAGGGATAGCTCCCTGAGGAGACAGGGAGTTATATTTGGAAATTAAGGTGATATAAAAATAAAAGATATCAATAAAAGTAGCACATATATCCTGCCTATCTGTCATGTGCTACAGAATAAGCATTCACACCCTTGGACAGTTTTATAAAGACTCTTAAAACATAGCAGGCCTTAAAGGCTTTGTATGAAGTAAACCTTCCATAGAAGCAAAATACAATTTGAAATGTAAAATTCTTTCTTAGATTGACTGATGGAAGAGATGACTAATCATTCATGATTACCTTCTGATGAATAAGCTCATCAGGAAACTTAGAAGACAATCATCTGTGCTCCAGGGAATAATGAGCTTAGAAATGTTCTACCTAAGTTAAATTACCTTTAAAAATATCATTTGCATCAACATTTTATTAAACAAGCAACAACACTATTGTAAACTTGTAGTTTCACCACTAATCCTAAAACAATAGTCATTTACAATTTTAAACCTAAATAACAGGAAATTAAAAACAAATTCTGCATATTTCCTTTTTTTTAAAAAAATAAGCTTATAAACTATGATGCCTGGGTACCATAAGGATAGGAAAAAGGAGGTTTGATTTCTCCCACAAAATTCTCTTAGAATCACAATTTCACTTTTACTGTGACTGAGTGTTGAATTTGGCATTTTGTACTTAAATGAGCCAGCCTTAAAATAAGAATCAATATTTTCAAAGCTATTGAAAACAAAAGTTTTTGCTCCAAGAGCAATATCTAAATGTGTATATGACATTTTATGGAAGCCAATTTCCTAAATGGTAATCCTAGAATAAGAAAATGATAGATAATGGAATATGGCAGGCAGGCTTACAGTGAAGATTGCCACTTAACAACCGGCTGTCTACAAAGTATCCAACCAAATAATTTTTACACATTTGAGATTCCCACTTGGCTGTGCTCCTTTGGATTTCTCTATCACGCCACCTGTAACCTCATCATCCTATAAAATCACATCAGCCTGAGTACTCACACCTAATCAGTACCCTCTGCTCCCAGAACCTCTGACTGAATGGCAGATCTATTTAAGAAAGGTTCTGAGGCCAGTCATCTTTCATTTACTACCTGGCTGCACTGTTTTGGATTTTTCCATCATATCCCCCACACTAGGTACCTTTCCTTCTTCCACCCTTAGCCCTTTTCAGCTTTCTTTTGTCATGTTGTCTTCTGGCATTAGATTATAATCTCCTCTAGAACAGGTAGTGGCTTTCTTTCTCATATTTGTGTCACAAATACTTAGCATAGCACCTAGCACAAAATAATTTGGCTATAATGACTATTTTATGACCAAAGGAAAATATTATCCACGGTTACCTTGCTTGATTTAAGAACTTTAATTTGTTCTTCAAAAACTGTGTCCTTATTCTTCTCCAAAAAGCCTTCACACTGGTATTCAACCTGCAAACATATGGAAAAATTTTAATATTTAACCAAACTCTTCAATATTAACAAAAAAACCTTTTGAGCTAGTTATCAATTATAAGGAACATATCTTCAGTGCCTGCTTTGTGCAGGGCACTATGTTAGGAATGTTTCTGTTAATCAAAACAATTTCTGTTATAAAAGTGAAATTATAAGATGTAAGCATATTAAAACTATAGAAAAACTCACCAGATGTTTTTATGAGGACCAATAATTTATGAATCAGTGGGATCTCTGATCTACTTGTTACACTCAACACTCTTAATGAACATACGAATGGACCAAAAAGGGTGGCTTCTCTGCCAGCCCCCTATCCCCTCCACAAGAAGACTTATCATAGTGCCTGAAGCTTATCATCTGTCCCACTACAGAATGCTTCCTCCCCTTCCTCCCACGTTATAGTCATCTATACTTGTGGCTCAGTACAAACCATTTGGCAGAAATGAATTTCCCCTTTGGGAAAAAGGTTGCTAGTGAAAAAGAGTGAGAATAAATGGTTGGTTGGTAGAGAGAAAGTAGAAGAGCTAACAAAGGTTAGAGGTAGAGACTGAAGAAACAAGTAATGTGGAAAATTCCAAGATGTCATTTCATAGGGGTAAACTTCACAGGGGTAATGGTCCCTCCTCCAAAGATTATAATTCCCATCGGCCTACTCCCCAAATTGAAAGATCACTTTGGAGCTTTTATGGTCTCCAGTCAAGATTATGGCAAACCTGGAAAGAAGACAGGCCCTACAGGTAACCTGTGCAAAGACAGGTAAGTAACCCAGGCCCACTTATGTCTCTACCTCCACTCCCCACTCCCCTGCAATCTGAAGATACTTTATATGACTTTCTAATATGTGTGAAATCCAGTGATGAAATCCAGTTATCCACAGAATAACAATTATTGTTAACTCTGAATTATTTGACATCAAAATTCAAATAGGATTGAAGAAAAAAAACAAAAACAAACAATGCAGGTTAATCATCCCACAAAGCTATAAACTGAGAAAGAATCCTGCATAGTAGATAGAAATCTGTCCTCAAAGCCAGGAAGACTTAAGTTCAAGTCTTTTCTTTGACACACACTGGCAGTGAGATTCTGGGCTTACCTTTTCAATGCCCTAGGCAACGCTCCAAAACTATAGCTTGTAGAGAAGGTACAGGCTTGTATTGAAGGGATTTTCTTCACTAGGGAGTTCCCTATACCAATGAAATCACAGGTCCAATCCCTATTCCTGTCCCTAAGGCCATACAGAATGCAACCTTTAGCAAAGAAGGAAAGAGTTACCTGCTATTGGTTTTTTTCCCCCTTTTTTAAACTTGAGTCTTCTAAAATTTAAAATAAATAAATAAATAAAACAGCCCAGAGCAAAACATCCTTACTTTGTCAGCAAAATGCTGAATGATAAAAGCTCTGTTTGACAGACGGGGCTTTTCAAAGAGTGCGCATTTGTTCAAATGTGTGTTGTACAACTTCTGGGCCCATGTGTCATCTGAACCTTTAGGCATCTAGAAAAGAAAAAGAAGACAACAGTTAGAATATAGCTGTGATGCTCATCTGAAGCATTTAAGATGACAAGCTACACTTTTTGTCAACTACATAATACTTTTACATTTACTTAAAGAACTCTTCTATCTTCCTTATGTGTCTGTAGACTCACTTTGATGGTCTGCAGACCACAAACCAATTATTATTAAATAGTATAATTGAATATCTTTCTAAGGATGACTTAAAGCATTCTTTTCTATTTTTTTATTTAACATATTTCAAAAGTTGCAAGTGAATAATTAAATGGACTTTTATACTAAAAGGCAAGCTAATGAAAAAGAAAATCTTATAGCTATATGTATTCTTGACATGTTAAGAAATCAGGACAAGCTTATGGGAAGATGATATTTATCATATATATTGAACACATTCAGAAAGAGACAAATTTTTTTTTTATCAAATACCAGATGGGAAAGTTATGGCTAGCTAGCATTTAAAAAAGATCAGAGGATTTTAGTGGTACAAGCTCAATATAAACCAATAATGTGATAGGGCAGTCAAAAAATCTAACAGATTTTTATCTATAAAGAGAGTCCAAAATGAGAAAGGTTATATTATACCCACTATATTCTACTCTTTTTGGATGATATCTGGAAAACTGTTCAGTTCTAGGTGACATCTCTTAAGGACACTGGTAAACTGGAGAAATATCTAAAGTTAAGCAACCTAGATCATAGATTTAGAAATAGAAAGGAGCTTAGAGTCCAACTAGGCCAACTACCTTTCTTTGCATAAGAAAACCTAAGACCAGAAAGGTTAGAATGATTTGCCTAAGATTATACAGGTTGTAAAAGAAGTAGGGATTTGGACCCACGTCCTCTGACTTCAGATCTAGTGTTCTCCCCTATATAACCACGCTTCGTATCTGTGCACAACTAAAGTCAAAAGCATACAGCAAAGTAGCTAAAATTCTATAGGTAGACCTTAAGCCTGAAAAAAAAAATCTTGAAATTTTGGACAATAGGGAAATTTACGTCTATTATCCAAATGTTTTTGGTCAGAGTTGAGATTTCATGAGTGTAGGGAATTCCCAGTGTATCCCATCAATGCAGACTGGTAAGTGGTGTATAGTGTTGGAGGACTGCATATATCACTAAGGGGTTAAATGATTTGCCCATGGTTACAGATAGCACGTGTCAGAAGTGTGGACCTATGTCTTTTTGACTCAAAGGCCTGACGTATATCCACTACTCCAGGCTGTCCCATCTATCATTGAATAACTGACTAAAATGAAGTCTGAAAGAGTAGAAGATGTTGAAGAATCTTTGAGATTATACCATTTGAAACTCAGTTGAAGGACATGGGAATATTTAAGCAAGAGAAAAGACTTGACAAAACATGGCAGCCCTCTTCTAGTCAATGAAGGAGGATCATATGGAAGGAGAGATTAGTCTTGTGCTGCTTAGCCCCAGAGTGAAGAACTAGCAATAATGGGTAGAAGCTACAGAGAATAAGATTTAAGTTTAATGTAAGTAAAAAGTTTCTAATAATTAGAATTACCCAGCATTGCACTGGCTGCCTTGAGAGGTAGTGGGTTCCTGTCCATTAGGAGTTCTCAAGGAAAGGCTAGATGATACAGAGGATTTCTGTTCAAGTATGAACAGGTTGGTTGGACAAGATGGCCTCCAAGGTCCCTTCCAACTCTGTGATTCCATGATATATAGTTATATTTTAAATTATCAGTTAGCAAAGATATCACTCACCAATGTATTTAAAACATTATGGTCTCTATGTGTTTCTTGAGGATAGGAACACCATATTTTAAAAACTAAATTTTTGTTGTCATTTAGTCATTTTAGTTGTATCCAACTCTCCGTGAACCCATTTGGGATTTTCTTGGCAAAGATACTGAATATCTTTGTCAAGAAATGGTTTGCCATTTCCTTCTCTAGCTCATTTTACAGATGAGGAAACTGAGGCAAATCAGAGTTAAGTGATTTGCCCAAGATTACACAGCTAGTAAGTGTCTGAGACTGGATTTGAACTCAGGTTTTCCCGACTCCAGGCTGAGCACTCTATCCACGGGGCTGCCTAACTGCCCACAAAACTAAAGCAACTCTAACTTAAATTTATACAGGTGGCACAATAAAAAGAATGCTATCTCTGGAATCATATAGGTCAAATTCTGCCTTTAATTTTTTCACTTGTGAAAAAGTTACCACCCCCCTGGGCCCAAATTACCTCATCAACAGAAAAAGGAGGTTGGTTAGCTGGTCTTTGAATTCTGTTCCAACTCTAGACCTATGACTTCAAGTCAATAACTAAGTTGTAAATGTAAGTATATCTTGAAAACATTTTCATCTTAGAAACAAACAAAATGTTACCAATGTTACATTACAGAAACTTGAAGTATTATGTCTTTAGACATTATACTAAGGGAAAGTAGTAGCCAATATATATTATAGGCAAATAATGTCAAGGCAGCATGGTATAGTGGATAGCTCAGCTACTTCCTATGACTTCTCTGGGCCTCAGTTTCCTAATCTGCCAAATGAGAGAGGCATACTCTCAGACTTCTAAGGTCCTTTCCAGCTTTAGAGCCAAAAATGTTAGGGACCTTAGAAATGATCTATTACACATGAGGAAAGTTAATTCCAGATAATATCAATGATTTGCCTTAGATCCCATAGCTGTCACCAATGACTAAAGAATGCTACTTATTCAAATGTTAAAGATCTCTCATTTATCTATACCTGTACGAGAGAAGAAAATAAGCCAATTAACTCATTAAGCTTTTGTTTATTCCTCTAATGACAAGGGTGATCATTGGTTAATTTAAATAATACCTTATGGCTTCATTATGAGTATAATAGTATAAAAATGAAATGCTAAACTTGGATTTCTAAAGTCAACTGTAAGACTTGTAAAATTCAAATTGGTGATATTTTTTGTGGGTAATCAAGCTGAAGTTTATTTGAAAAAAAAGGGTTTGCTAATCAACTGTTGTAAACACAACTACAGAGTGGATGTTTAAGCTACTGTTATGAAACTATTATGAAAACTGTTAGTAAGTACCTTCAAGTAGCCACTTGCTTACAAACAACTGTTATGCTAATTACAAAGAATATAATCTTCCCATCAAAGTAGGTTTCCTGCAGACATCTACTATGGAACACTTAGATTCAAAGAATATTAGAACAGGAAGTAACCTTGCAAATAATCTAGCCTATCTTCTTGATTTTAAAGATGAAGAAAGTAACAAAACCGAAATTCTTTTCCAAGTGTTTACTAATTCAAACTAGCTTTTTTCCTAGTTTTTCTGAGGTTGGCAGGTGATACAGTGGATAAAATGATTGGCCTGGAATCAGGAAGACCTAAGTTCAAATTTGGTCTCATACATTTACTAGCTGGATGATCCTGGGCAAGTCACTTAACTTAGTGTCCTCAACTGTAAAATGGGGATAATAATAGCACCTACTTCACAGGGCTATTGTGAAGATAAAATGAGGTAATATTTGTAAAGCTCTTAGCAGTACCTAGCACATAGTTATAATTAATAATAAATTAATAAATGCTTTATAAATGCTTGTTCCCTTCTCCTTCTCTCCCTGATTTGTTTGAAATAGTAAAGTTTTAATCGTACTTTCAAAACTTATATGGCTAATGGCCTTTACCAAAATAGAATTCATTACTCAAAACAAATAATCAGCTTTGACAATTGAAGTCATTTTACTATAAATCTTAATTTGTGATTTACTAGCTACTCTTTCCTGCTATGGATACTGCTCAGTTGTTAAACTATAGTCATGATACACATGAAACCAAATTTGATTGATTGTCTTTGACAACGAAGGACAGTAGTAGTAGCAGGGACAAAGAAATCGATAGATGATCTCGAACTATTTTTTGAGCCATTTTTCTCCCACCTTCTTTGAGTGAGATGCTAATAATTAATGAAATTCCAAAAAACAGAGATATCAAAAGAAAAGAGAAATGGAATATATGGAAAATCTACCACATGGGTAATCAGCCTCAGAGTAATTGAGAGTGGGTTGAAAAAACAGCTTTTTATGGGAAAACACAATCTGCATTATAATGTGATTTATATTCAGTGTGGGTGTGAATTACTTAAAATTTCTTTCAAAGATAATTTAGTACTGATGTTTAAAAAAAATACAGCTTAAAAAGGGAGTCAATAATTTCCTTAAACATCTCCTGCTATTGAACAAAAAGGAATTATACACACACTGATAGGACTAATACATGACCAAAATTTCCAGAGAAGAAACTGAAAATATTCTCTCTCATAGTTTAGAATGAGATTTAAAAACAAACGAACAAAAAATGCCATGTTCCTTATCCAGCATTAGCAAAATGGAACTTATGGGAGTTAGCAACCTCCCACAACTATAGTTGTATGGGAACTGGTACATACAAGTGAGAAAAAACAATTGTTGAGCTATGATATTCACTACCAAGGGGGTAAGAAAGGCCCTCTAAAATAAGCCATATTTGGCTTATGAATCACTACTTAACAAAATCTAACCCTTCTAAGCTTATTGCACCTCTTACAATAGACCTTAAGTACTCAGCTGGAAATATTCTACCTACCTTGCACTCTTCATCCAACAAATCCAGAATGCCCAGTTTTGCTTCAATAAGGTTAATACAAGGTTGATTGTCATAAAAATCTATGAGTGTCCATGGAATTTGCTCCTTCATATACTCTTCTTGTTCTAGCTTAAAGACATGCTATAGGGAGGGGGGGAAAGTCATCTTTGTAACCATCAGCATCAAAATACAGGGATTAAGTCTATTAACCACATTTATTGAGGATCTGTGTTATTAAGAACGTTATAAAACTCCTGCTGGTTTCCAGATATTGCAATCTAGTCAGGGAAATAGAATGAGGACATCTGACACTGTATAAGAAAACTTAACAAACATTAGCTATTCATCACCTCAGGATATGAGTAATTTTGGATGTGGTTAGTCTAGAGAGCGGAGGGTTTAAATGCTAACTTTCTTTCCTCCCAGAAATCTTTCTATAATACATTTCCCTGACTTATTAAACTGCTGTACTATGCAACGAATGTGTCTGTAGATGTCGATATAGATGATGTGGAAGCATAGAGATGAAAGGCTTACCTTCATTTTAGTAATAGTACATGAATTCCATGGAAATTCCATGTACATGAAATTCCAATGGAAAGCAAATTCCTACTGCCCTCAATTCCAATGCAACAGCTGAGTGCTGTGTCAGCAGCACACTTATGAAGGATGGTTACCACTGTCTCTGAATACAATGGTCTCTGTCTTTTTTCATTTTGTTAATGATAAGTAGTCTCCATTTAAGACAACAGAAGCATTTGACTGGGACCATAATTATTCAGCTTTCCTCTCAAATGTCAAAGCTAAACTGAATCTTTGGGCCCCAGAAACACTGCTAAATTGTCAAAACATTTGAAGGTAAATGTGGATATAGAATACAGTATCTCAAATTATTCTAGATTTATAAAATAGTGCCTAAAACCCCTCAAGCTCAAATCTGTAAGCCCAGCATAGTTATCCAAACCCCAAAATTTACTGAATGAAAACTGAGAGATATGACACTAAGAATTAAGTAACTATATAAACATCATGCTAAATTATATATAGCTCAAATGAGCTGGTGAATGACAAGTTGTTGTTTTAACAGATTTTAGTTCTTGACACTGGCATAAGGAAAAACTGCTATTTGGATTCTGGTGGGAGTTTGACAGGATTTATATTTTTATTCACACTAGAAACTATATTATGTTTTTGACCTTAAAGGCAATGCAATCTTATTTTAACATTTGTGCTAAGGAGTTTGATTTACTGTATAACTGAATCCTTTTTCCTATATAAATATCCTCTTTAATTCAAGCATCTCCAAACACCATAATAATTCAGTGGGATATTTTATATACCTGCTATATAGGAGGGTAAAAAACAAGGCTAAAGAAACTTTCCCATTGGCTCACTGAGCAACCATTATTCAAGAAAACGAGTTCTTTTGGGGAGGAAGGTGGTATTTCACACCATAAAATCGTGAGTCTAACATGGGGAGATTTAATTTCTATTCTAATCACGTAACAGTGCAAATAAGAGTTAAGGTACAATCTTAGCATTACATAAAATCACCTCAAATACACTACAAAAGTCAGTGTCTATATTTTCCAAACCACTTTCTATCATGCTACTCTAAGAACTTCATTTGGGGGCACAAGATTCTCAGTGTAGCTCCACTGAGCATTCTAGGGGCAGGGTACATTTGGAGTCTACACAGACCATGACATACTCTAGATATTATCTTAATTATTCAGCATCATTTCCTAAACTATTTGAAACACGAGAAAATAAGTATAATTTGGGAATTCATTTCAAGAATCAGATTTCAAATACAACTCGGACTTTTCAAAGGAATCACTTTTTAGCAGAGGGGAATGTAATAAAGAAAATTCTTACCATGTTGAATTGTTGCTGTAGTTTCTCATTGGCATAGTTGATGCAAAATTGTTCAAAGCTATTTATCTCAAATGTTTCAAACCTGTAAAACCAAAGATAATTGGCTGCACAAATAAACAAACACACACAAAACTCTGCACAACAGAAACACTAAGGAAAGCCCTAAATTATTTGAAATTCTCTCTCCAAAGCAATGAAGTTTGACTACTTTCTTGGAAGAAGGTTCCAATGAACCTGAAAGTCCACCAGACTCCAGAAAGATAACAGAAAAGCATAAACATATTGTACTAACAAGACAATAAGCTTTGGAAATCTCACCCCAAAGTGGAAGATATTTAAAGTCATCAATAAAGACATTATGGCACTATTCAAGTACTAATATAACACTAATAAATGCATATAGTACAGTGTTTGAGGTCATTATAGTACTTTCTCAATGGTCAATTTACAAAATCACCATTATTCCAATGAGAATACCAAGAGAACTTGGTACAAATGGCACAGGAACAAAAAATTAAGCAGAGTTTTGTGTGTGTTTGTCTATTTTGTCTATTTTTTTAAAAGCATAGTTCATAAATAAAAACTATTACATTAAACACAAGTATACAATAAGGAATTTAACAGTAAAAAGTGGAATATATTGAAGGGAAGAGTTAGAGTCGAATTAGATTTATAATTCAATTCAATTCAATGTAATACACATTTATTAAGTGCCTACTGTGTCCAAGGTACTATGCTGGGTGCTGAAGACACCGAAGATAAAACTAAGACATAGAGCTAGCCCTTAAAGAGTTTATAATACAGTAGGTAAAGAAGACATATACACAAACAAATATAATACAAGTCAGAATCTAATGGGAACATAAGAGAAGTCTAAAGAAGGAAACATGTTAGATTTGAGGAAGAAAGGATAACTTCTAGCTCTAGGAAGGAAAAACAAAAAAAATAATTTTAAAAAAACATCATATAGGAGGTATGGGACAACCCTGAGACTTTTCTGATTTCTTCACCATGCCACCCACATTAAGTACCTTCCTTTTTAGATTTTTGTGTGTTATCTTCTCCCACTGGAACGTGAACTCCTTGAGGGTGGGGATGTCTTGTCTTTTTTTTGTCTTTGTATTCGCAGTGGTTAGCACAGTGCCAGATACATAGTGGGTGTTTAATAAATGTGTACTGACTATTTGAGCTTTTGATTTGGGCCTGGCAGAAAGAAGATAGTTTCAACACAAAGAGATATCAGGAGAATCCATTCCAGGCATGGGGGACACCATGTTTAAAGGTATAGAGATGGAAGAGTTTAATGATACTTTACCACAAGAGAGAGTGAAAGCAAAAATGTTTTTACTAGAGTGAGTAAGCTAGATTGGATCCCAGTTTAATTTTTACATAATGTAGGATAATTACATTACTATCACGAAGAAATCCTTTAATCCAAAGGGCAAAAGCTAGAGTATCTAATAACACCTTGAAGTTATTTGGTTATTTCTCTTTAGAAGTAAATTTTCCAGCACTCAAATTAATCTGTTATAAGTTTTATGAAACACAACTAAAAATTAACTAACATAATACACTTACCCGTAAATATCCAACACTCCAATAAAAGAGTGCTGCTTCACAGCAGAATGAAGAGCTTGATTGACATGATCTACAATCCAGTTAAAGAGTTTAGCATAGATATGTTTGGCCAAGGCATCCCGAGCATTAGTGGCCTGCAATTTGGGAATTGGTTTGATATAGGTCTCAGTTGCAGTAGCCAGCTTCCTATGGCAAAGCCAATGACACATTTCTTCATATTCAACTCCCATAAGATCACAGAAAACGATAAGAGGCTCATGTTTTGGCTGCCAAAATAAAATGGCTCATTTAAATAAGTCATATAATAAGAATTTTCCAGAACATATTTGTGAAGGTAAAAAGTACAAAACAGGAAATTCTCTGACATAAAAAAAAGAATTCACCAAGATCATCAGATGATAATTACTATAGTAGTAATGCTAATAATGCAAATTAATGCATAAAAACTACTGCTAATTATTATTTATTTATTTTCTATAGATAACTCAAATTTGTATAGTGCTTCATGTTTTCCCAAAGCATTTTACACAAATTGTCTCATTTAATTCTTTAAAATTAGTTTATTTTTATTCTGAATTTAAACACTAAATAAGATTAAGATTTCCATATATATAACAGAACGATAAAAAAGATTACACAGTCTAATTTGATTCTTCATCAAGTTCATAAAGACAGCATTACTATCCCTACTTCATAAATGAGGAAACTAACGCAGAAAGAACTGGTCAATGACCAAGATCAAGGTCATACAGCTGATTAATGACAGAGCTAGGGCTATAATCTAGGTCTTCTGCTTTCATCACTGCACTATTCTTCATTTTTCCTTCTTTTTTGCCTAGCTACCAATTCATTGTAAATACAAATATATTAAGCATTTATTAGCAAACAGCATTACTGAAATCATGGCACTATTCCCTAAAATAAGCATCTTAAATATACGTACATGAATACTACATCATTTGAAAGTAGGTCAGTACATTCTATACTTATTTTCTCGAATGGAGTCATCACTTCCTGAGCTAAAATTCCCTGCTTTGCTATGTAGAAACTATTTATTTTAAACAGCGTGGGAACATTTACCTATATTAAGTAAAAGCACATTTGAGACCTAACAACCAATATTATCATAAAACAAGGAATAGAAACTATTCCATCCCAAATGGATTAAAATAAAGTCCAAATATTCTAGTTATATATATCAATATCACATGAATTAAATTTCTAAGAAAATTTGCCAATATCAAGAATAATAAGGATAAATAAATGAAGGATGCTCTCTGATAATATATCTTCAATATTTTTTCTATTATAACCATAGAAGAAAAAAGGAAGAGAAGAAGGAAGCAGAAATGTCATTTTAAGAAAATTTTAAAATAAGACATCTGATGATGGTGACAATGATGATCAGCAAAAACTCACATGATTTTTCTATGATTTAGTTAGTGCAGTGAAATGGATAATAAAGTCAATTTAGAACTGGCAGGCACGGACACAATTTGGACAGAGGTTTCTATAAGTGAAGGCTAAATTAGCTTTTGAGTCCTGATTCTATGTTTCTGTCATCTGTTTTCGTTATGGCAATGTACATTTATAGTGCCAGCAGGGTTAAATCATTCAACTAAATCCTGGATCAGCATCATCAAAATCACAGCAACCCCAAACACAGAAGACTAAAATTCCCAAAAGAACTTTTAATAGATCAGAAAAATCCATCAACAAAGCAAGCAAAATATGAAAACACTAATATGGTAAGAACTAGAAACTCTGATAAGGATACCCAAGCTACCCAAGTTATCTTGCCCAGTATTTAAGGAATCTGAGCCACAGAGTTGGCTGATTTGTTCCCTTGTTGGGGGGGGGGGGAGATTTTGTAAACATGAGGCTAGAAAACACTTCCATCATTAGAAAAAATATGTAGTACAATCAAGCAATACAGGTCATTAACCTCTGTCAGACAAGTTAAACTGGTATATGTGTGTATTTATCTACATAACTTAGATTTAGAGAATACTTACAAACTAAATTGGTAACCATTTTGTTTTAAGGCATAAATACTTTAGGTTGATTATACACATTCTTAGAATGACTGGAACATGAACATGGCAGGACTATATTTCTTAAATATCAACTCATCTCACTCATTTATCTCCTACAAAGGCTATGAAGCTTCTACATAGCTTTTGTACCAGTTCTAATCACTGCCAAATCAACAAAGTTCTGGCTAAAAAAGAAAGACGGAAATTCAAAGGAGTAGAGAGGGATGAAGATGAGAATGACTCCTGGGAAATGCTTCAAATCAAATGCATAACTGGTCTACTCTCAGAACAATCTTTTCTCCATATCTTAAGGTCAAGGGAAGTATACTAATGCTTTAAAAAAAAGACTTAGAGTGATGTCACATGTTTTTTAAATTTGTATTAATAGTCTTGATTTTTAAAATTACAAACATTTGGGAAAATTCAGTGTGAAGGCAAAGTTAGTCATATGGGTATCAATGAGTTCACCTGAAAAAAAAATGTGGTCTATAAGATTTCTTTAGAAGAAATCAAGGCCTAAATCAGATGAAATTCATACAGTCTCAACCCTACCATCTTTTGCAAAATTATCATATGAGGTCAGGAAATATAAGCATGGGTACAAAGAGAATTTAGTGACTAGAACTGTGTTGGACCAAAGACCATAAAGAAGGGGTAATAGGGACATAGCTTCAGAGCTGGAAGGGATTAGAGAGATCATTTAATACCACTCATTGTTTTATGGATTAAGAAACTGAGACCCAGAGGTTAGTGGCTTGCCTAAGGTCACTATAAATATATGATCATAGAATGAAAGAAAAAAAATTCCTTCCATGTGGGTCAAACCTTTCGCCACAAATCAAACTGTCCAATATAATTTTACTATCTAAATGATTTATGAGATTTCCTCCTCAAATACCAAAGTAACTTCACATGTCATATTTCTTTATCTTCTTGAAAAGTTCAGAAAAGAATAAAAATTTGCATTCTTATTGATCAAGAGCAAGTTAAATGAAAAACACTTTAAAAATTCATTTCATGTTTGCCACTGTTTTTTGTGACAGAAGGGGAAAAAAGGGTTACACTCACAAGCTTTTAAAAATCAGGATCAGAGAACAAATTTCTATTCAGAATACAAAATAAATTTTTTTAAAATCTTAGTTCTATGATCAATTAAAGGATTAATACAGAGAGGAATAAGAAAAATGAAGAGCTACACTGCCTAGCCTAAGCAGAGCTGCTCTGTTTCACTCGTTTTGTAATCTATAGGAGTTCTACATTCCTTGAGCTTAGGCAAAGTAATTATGGGATTTAGTGTTCGTGGCTACTGGTGGGCTACCTTTTTTTGATGATAATGAAAAAGATAGAGAGTATGACACAGAGAAAGAACAAGGGCAAGAAAGCCCCAAAATGTCACAACCTATTATTCTCTAGTGCAGTGGAAAGAGCAATGGTTTTAGAGTCGGAAGACCTGGGTTCAAATCTTGGCTCTCACATTTCCTACATGTCCCATGGCATGTCACTTATTCTCTCGTTTTCAGTTTTCCTTTTCTGTAAAATGAGGTTGAACTAGACAACTCTAAATCTTTGATCCTATAATACTAAAGGAAAACAGAAACACAGAGAGTCAGAGGCAAACAGAGAGAGATATCTACAAAGAAAAAGAGATTAAAGCAAGACACCCAAAGAAAAGGTCTCATAACATGCATAATTTCAGAGAGACATACCAGAGACCCATAAAGACACAGAAGAATAAAAGGTTAAAACACACACACACACACACACACACACACACACACATACACACAAGGAGAAACTTTCAGGAAGAAAACCTCTAACCTCTCTACATATCAGACCTTTCATCTTCTATAATTATAATAATAATAATGGGAAACATTTATGTAGTGCTTACTATGTACCAGGCACTGCATTAAGCACTTTAGAAACTAAGAGACAACACGAGACCACAGGTTCTTAACCTGAGGCCCATTGAACTTGCTTTTTAAAAAAATATTTTGATTACTGCTCTTCAACATAATTGTATTCCTTTGTCCCAGATCTTTTATTTCGTGAATTAAAAAATATCATTCCAAAAAGAGGTCTATAGGCTTTACCAGACAGTCCACGGGCTCTATGACACAAAAAAGGTTAAGAACCACTGTGAGAGATTGTCTCTAAGGTCCTATGGCCTTTTGTGGGCATTCTAAAAAGGAGGTCACTAGTGACTTTAAAGTCTATATTGTATTGTCAAAACTGTAGGCATAAATTGAGATATTATTTCTTGCTAATGATACTTAGACCAGATGGTACTCTGCCCCATCAACCAAAAACGATTAAGTTAAAGGACAATCTGCTTGTAGACTGAAGGTTTTCCACTATTATTCCAGAGATTAAAAGGCTTTCATGAGGTCACAAAACAAGAGCATTAGGACTGGAACTCAAGTCTCTTTATTTCTAGGTCAGTACTCAAGTCATTGCATGGAGCTGTTTCTCTAATATGTTCTTAAAGAGATGTTAAGTATGTTTGTTTTCATTTAAAAAACCAAACCAGACAAAAAGCATTATTAATCCCAAAATGCAACCACAATCACTTTTAAAATGTTTTAGACTTACAGGTATTGAGCAGCTGTCTGAGTCCCGGGAAGTAAACCCAACATTGCCTAGGTGAAGGATGCCAGCAAGTATTTGGAAAATTCCCATCTGATAGGACTCATTAATTCCTAAAATAATATTAGAACAGTATACTAAATAAGCAGCAAATTTCACAAAAGGGACTTTTAGGCACACAGGCAAATCCTGATTATCAATACAGATTATATACATGGTAACACAGTAAATCAGACTTTCAACTCTGTTAACATTATCATAACATACATAATTTCAGAGAGACATACACAGAGACTTATAAAGACACAGAAGGGTAAAGGGTTAAAACACACACACACACACACACACACACACACACACACACACACACACACAAACTTTCAGGAACAAAACCCCTAACTTCTCTACATATTAGACCTTTCATTTTCTATAATTATAGTAATAATAATATAATTCATTATATATAATAATATATACATAATTAATTATAATAATAATAACATATTGAGCACAAGCCCTTTGCAGACATTAGCAATGTCTCTGTTTATTCTTACTCAGACTGTGGCCTGAAGCCCAAAAGGAGTCAATTTTTTTTCCCTGTAAGCCCTAAGGATGGTATAAATCATAGAGTACAAGATTAGAAAATGAAGAAAGTTTTGGCCAAGTTAATGTTGTATATCAATCCAACAGATGACGCTGTCCATTCCTAACGGAGCTATGGAAGGAGGCAAGCTGAAGACAGCTTTTCAGCTTTTTCTAATTCTAATCATGACTTACCAGAACATTAGGCATAACTACATTTGAATGAAAATATCAAAATGCATTATAGCTAAACATAAAGTATTTTTAATTACATAATCCATGTCTCCAGCAGAATCGTCCCCTTAATGTGGCTAATTAAGAGTTAAATCTAAAGTAAATATTTCTATCTCTTAGATGTTATGAATTTGTCCATTTTTTTGTTTTTACCTAGTCTTACATTAAATATTTCAAATTCACAATCTATTAATTTGCAATGAAATTCCTCTCAAAGAGGAAACTCACTTAGAAAGTAAATTAAACTGGGGTTACTTTTCAGGGTACTATAGTATTTATAAGTTAATAATATTCTGATGCACTAAAATAGTTCATTTCTAAAAGCTGTGCATTTTTTAAAGTAGAGAACTACACTATTAACCTCTAAACCTAACACTATTTGCAAACAACAAAGTTAAATAGCATGACTGCAATTTCAGTAAGACTTAGGGAAAAGATTGTCAGTATAGCAGCGATATCATATTTGTTCCTCAAAACATCAGAAATTAAATCTGAAACTGTTCATTTGATTTAGGTTCTGCACTCACTTGAATTTTTACAAATCCTGAAATAGCTGCAGTGAGGCAAAGAAAAAAGAGCTGTTCTTCTAAGGGACTATGACTATCAATGTTACTCACCAGCTAACATAAACCAAGCTAACATTCTAGATGAGAGCTACATGAGTCATGTTCTGCATACGTAAATTGTGGATCATAGAGTCTCAAGACCAAAGTAAAATTACCTAGCAAAGTACAGGCCTGCCTTGTATGCACCATTTCCTTGGCATCATCAACTCCATCAATTACAGGGCTGCCTCCTTGTTTTGTGTAGTGAAAGTAGTCAGCATTTCCTGAAATTGAAGTAAAAAAGAATTTTTCATTTTATAAGTGCTAAGAAAAATGTTTCTTGAATGACTGCATTCCCAAAATTCTTTATCTACAATCCCCTTCCAAAACCAAGTGAGTGTTATGAAAAAAAATTTCTGTCAAAAGCAGCTCCTTTATGCCAGCCATGGAATTAATTACTAACTCCTCTTCCTGACTTCTTTATTCTCCAGGGCTCAAAACTTTCTAATCACCTTTGACTACTCTTCTCTCTTCTTGGGCTCCCAAACGAATCACTACTTTTGAATTTGTCCTTTCTTTTCCTTTTCCCGGGGTCAGGCCTTTATTTTTCCATATCCATATAATTGTAATAGCCACAGTAGTATACTACTGCTTTAACTCTTTGTCTGGGGGTACCCTGCCTTGCAGGTGGTTCTGCTGACTCATCTCCACAGGACTTCCTCTATCATGCCATAGAAACCTCTTCACCCTGGAAGCTCACTTCACCCTGGGCCCTCTCTCACATTGGGAATATCTATACCCCTGCAGCCTCTCCCTTTGATTAACTAATTGCTCCCAAAACTTCACTTTGAAGGAGGAAACACAGATCGACTCTGTCTTTATTCCTCTTCAGGCTGTGCTGTTGACTCATCTCCACTGGACTTTGTCTACCATGTCCTGGTACTTTCAATTTCTTCCCTTTCCCCCCAAGCCTTTTTTCAGCTTTCTGAAAAGTCTTTTGAGGTCTTCCCTCATTATTATTTCAGTTCTTTGAGAGCAGAAACTATCTCTACTTCTTCTGGCATTTGAACAACTTAGCACAGTAAGCCATACTTAACCACAGTCTGGACGTAATAAGAGCTTAATAAATGCTTATTGACTTGACTTGACCTCCAGTCATTTTTTTGTAAGAAAGAATCTATCATAACTTAATACTGTATATTAGAACTGTTTTTATAGGTGTCATATCTTCCTACATGACTCTAAGCCTCATAGGGGACTGTGTCTTATCAGAATTTCATATTTCCCTCAGTTCTTATCACAGTGCTTTGAACACAGTAAGTAATTATCTGCTGAATTAAATTTAATTCTTTTCACTGCAGCCTCACACTCATGAAGGACAGAGACATGAGCAATGACAGCAAAGTTTTTAAGTAAAGCAGGGGACAGGAGTTAAGACTTTACTGTTGCTAAGTATGATCTTCTCCTCATGGAAATCCTAAAAAACTACAGTGTGGAAGATTCTGGCAGTACCAATCAGGTAGGGCTTCAAAAACAATCAGTAGATCCCAGTGTACTAGTTAGGGACTTGTGGCCTACAGGATCAAATATAGTTCCAGGCCTTCTACAATCCGGGGCTAACATACTTATCTTCCACTTACCTGGCAAACCAGATTACTCCTATTTTGTGTTTCTGGGGACTTCAGTGTTTTTGCTCATACCTTGTCCAGACACCTCTTCTCTACTAGTTCAAATCCTACTTGTCCTCTGAGGTTCAGCTCTGATCTCACCTGTTCCAGAGTCTACCCTGAGATTGGCCCAAGGGTAAAGTGACCTCATTCTCATAAATCACTTCTCTGTGCCATTCATTTGGCAATTACTTATATGAAGTCTCCTCAAGCTAGAGATATCCTGATGGTTCTGTCTAACTATTTTGTCCCTCCCTAGCCCTTTTTTCAGTCCTTAGCATGAGAACCAGAAAGTTTCTCAATAAAAATTTATGGAATTGATTTCTGTCCTACTCACCATTAACCATAATAGGCTCCAAGTGAAATATAAATCCAAGTAAAGTAACATCAATGTTTTGTTTTAAACAAAAGTAAAAATCTAATCAATGCACTGTATAATTCTAACTAGCCATTGTGACATATAAAAAGTTCAAGAAACATAGTTTCTGAGTAATTAATCATTTTATTAATTATGTTAACAGATAAGGGGTCAGCAGCACTCTCAAATGCCAAAGACTCTTCATGGAACCCACTCAATGTTTATATGCCCTTACAAGAGTGGGTGTTCCTGAGGGTAGCAATCAACTTTGATTGGTTAACAATTAATGAGAAGAATGATTATCATAATGAACGGTGGATGTGTTCAAATGAGGGGCTAGGGGACATGACTCTGATCACTCTCACTCCCAGATCACTCCCAGCCTCAGGGCAATTTAGATGAGGGCTTCTTAAACTTTTTCCACTCAAGACCCTTTTTTCTGTTTTGGCAGCACACTGTGTATGCTTTGTGTTCAGAACCAAGGCTGCAGTGAAGTTGTGTGATGCAATATGGGCAAGTGCTGCCAGAAACACCTTGGATTCATTATACCTTTGATTTTTAATTAATTTGGGAGGCATGTACCTCAGGGATTTGGGATCAACAACGTCCTTCAAAGACTGAACAGCCTACAGGAGTCTGAAAAAATCTTGGCCCTAATTCAACAATTGATTATTAATATAAGAGAGAGAACCATTTCTCTTACTATGTAATCTCCACTGGCATTGGACTATGCACTGTTTTCCAGATCAACTATATAGTCCTCTGGCTTATAAAGCTCTCCCTATCCTTCCCCTCCTCCCTCACCCAATCCCAGTCTTCTCATCCCTCATATCCCCTCCCCTCCCATATACCCTGCAATCCAGCAACACTAGCTATCTTACTGTTCCTCACATTGTATACTCGGTCTCTTAGTTTAGAGTATCATCACTAGCTGTCTCCTGTGCCTGGAACTCTCTCCCTCCTCATCTCGTAGTTTCCCTGGCTTCCATCAAGTCTCAGCTAAAGTCCTACCTACTGTAAGAAACCTTTTCCTTCTCCCCCTTAATTTTAGTGTCTTCCCTCTGTCCAATTTATCCTTTAAATATCTTAGTTGTACATATTTGTTTGCATGTTGTATTACTCATCAAAATGTAAGTAAGCTCTTTGAGAAAGGGTCTGACTCTTTTTCCTTTCTTTGTGGTACTTAGAATAGCACCTGACACATCGTAGATGCTCAATAAATGGTAACTGATTGACTATCCCTCTATCTGGTTTGTTTTTAAGCCCACAATTTAAATACTGGAAAAAATACTAATGAATTATCTAGTACAATTTTCTAAATTATTTTAATAATGTTAAAGAGTTACCCTAAATCCTGAGTCCCCCAAATTCTATCCCTCAACCTTGCCCCCTACAACATATAAACAGTCTATCTTATGATACTTTCCTTAGTTCAGGCTACTCTATGCTCTACCTGAAGGATGTCAAGATATGACTTATGGAACTCACTAGTCCTAGGCAGGAGTATAGATAAAATGGGTTAGTCCCCCTAGAGTCAGTGAAACACAGAATGAATTGGAATCACAGAACTTCAGAGTCAGAAGTGACCTCAGACAGAGGCCATCTAGCGCAATGAATACCTGAATAAGAATTCCCATTACAACATGCTCCTTCCTTTCTCTGAAGACTTTTCTCTCCCTTCTTTCTGAGAAGGCACTCACTGCCACTACCTCTTAAGGAAGTCCATTTTTCTCAAATAGTTCTCAAGGTTAGGAAGTTTTTTCCCCTCTCACATCAAGCTTTAAATATTTCTTTGCAACTTCTACTCATTATTCCTACATCTGACTTCTGGGACCATGCAGAATAAATCTAATCTTTCTTTCCCATCATAGCCCTTCAAGAGTATTGGACATGATGCATCTCTTAATGCAGCCTAAGATTCTATTGGTTTTCTCAGGTTCTATATCACATTGTTAATTCATATTGGGTTTGTAGTCCACTAAAACTCCCAAATCATTTTCAGAAGAACTGTCTAATAATATCTCTCTCTCATGTCCACATTTTACACCTGTGAAGTAGACTTTTTGAACCCAAATGTAGGATTTTACATTTATCCCAATTTAACTTAATAGATTTAGCCCAATACTAACCTTCTAAGATCATTTGGATCCTATCTTTTATCCAGTGTGTTCACTAACCCTTCCCAGTTTTGTATCACCTGAAAATTTTATAAGCATATCATGCATGCCTTATCTAAGTCATTGACAATAATGTTAGCCAGCACAGGGCCAAGCCCAGATCCTTGAGGAATTTCACTGCAGATTTTTCAAGGTGACATCAAATCATTAATGACTATTCTTTAGGTACAACCAACTCATGAATCCACCTAACTTCACTATTGTCTAGTCTCTAGACACATCTCTCCATGAGAACAACATGAGAAATTTACCAAATACATTATTTAAATCTAGGTAAATTATATCTATAACACTCTTCTGTCAAAAAAAAAAAGGAGATAAGGTCTGTTTACCATGACATGTTCTGAGTTGTTTTTTTAAATTGTGCCCTTTACCTTCTTTTTTTAACATTCACTTTAAAACATTTTGAGTTCCAGATTCTCTCCCTCCTGCCCCTCCCCCACTCATTGAGAAGGCAAGCAATACATCAATTGTACATGGGAAGCCATGCAAAACACATTTTCATATCAGCCATGTTGCAAAAACATAACAAAGCCTCCAAAAAGCAAGAAATATAACGAAAGTGAAAAAAGTATCCTTCCATCTGCACTCAGAGTTCATCAGTTCTCTCTCTGGAAGTGTAAAGCATTTTTCATCATGGGTTTTTTGGAATTGTCTTGGATAGCTCTCTTGATAAGAGTAGCTAAACATGCCATGTCATGCTCGTTCTTCATGATCATTGCTTCCTTTTCTAGATTTTGTTAAACATCTTTTTAATATTCTAAGAATTTTCCAGGAATCCAAGTTAAATTTGTTAGCTTATAGTTGCCAGACTCGAAAACTGGGACACCCTTGGACAATATGTGTAGCTTGTGGCAAAAATGAAACTAGGATCAAGTTCTTCTGATTCCTAGCTCAATGCTGCCTAGGGGACTACCAGCTTGTTGTTGAGTATAGTGAGCAATCCCAATCCCATGCTGAAGGTCAGGAATTACTCTGAGCATCTTGGGAAGCCATCATTATTCTTGAACATCACTGCAGATTTCTAATATTTAATGAAAGCCACTGAGTTTTAAGTAGTTCCCAGCATTGTACTGGATTATTTAAATGTTTAAGACAATCAGTTTAAAAACTCGGTTTTTTTTTAGCCTACCAAACATTTATTTGTTAATTTACTTGATATAGCTCTTTACTAATAAAGGAACATTAACTAACTGGTAGAGTGTTGAAGAACTTTTTCTTTCTTTTTAAAAGAAAACCTCACCACTAGGGAAGATGGCTCTTCTATAAAAGTCATTTCTGAGCAGCAACCAATGGTGGCTATATGCTGTTTTTAGTTTTTAAAATGCTACTATATGCTTTAGGTCAATGTCTCGGTCCTTATATAGATTCTAGAGGAATATTTATGGGCTCTAGGTCATCCTTAAGCCCTGATAATTCTTGTTCCCTGACATCTCTTAGATCTGCCCTTTCTTTCCATCCCCACAGCCACTACACTAGTATGCTCCTTTCTTATCACCTCCTACCTGGATTTTTACAACAGTTTCCTGGTTAATTTCCCTGCCTCTATTCACTCTTCACTTTAATCTGTCTCATAATTAGGTGCTAGGATAATTTTCTTCAAGTACTGCTTCAAAAATGCATTTCTTCTACTTAAAAAAACTTTGCTTCCTCCCAGTGGCTATCACAGAAACAGCTTCCTATTTAAGAAGTCAATTAATTAACCCAGATATAAGTGGAAAATAATATCAGATCCCCAAATGTCATTTTCGTACCTAATCGTAGCATTTTAAATTCAGGTAACTTTGCTGAGGCACACAGCTGGTAAAAGATATGATAGTTTCTCTCCTCTTCTGCCTTTGAAAAAAAGAAAAGATTTTTCAATTACAGTAATCAAACTCAGAAAACTGAATGATGAAATATTTTCTAATTTCACGATTTGGTGAAATGAACATAGTCCATTCCTAACCTCTCAATTTCATTTACATCATAAAATTTCAATGTCTCCATTTTGAATATAAGTATCATGACCCTTCATGTACAAATACTATACTTTTGACTGAGATATTTTGTTTGTGCTGATTAGAAAAAAGCTTAATACATGATATGCAATTTAAAAAAGGCAATGACTATGTTTTAGCTTAAAGTTACAGCTCTTATTCATTCAAGATCGATGTTTACTGGTATAGAATTCTATAAGTGACCAAGTACAAGAGGAGACACAAAATTTAGACAAGACATGATTCTTGCCCTCAGAGTTTATGGTAAGATAAGACACAAACATATACAAGTGAAAATTACAAGACACTATATTAGAGAGTTATAAAATTCCATATGTGATTTGAGATGGATGTCCATTAGCAACTGAGAGAAGGTCAGGGAACTTAGTATCAAAGAGGACTTTATGGAGGAGCTGGCATTTAACTAAACTTAAAAGGATGGGTAGGAACTAAGCAGGCAAAGATAGAGAAGGGAAGGCATTCAAGGAATAAGGAACAATGTGAGCAAAGACAGGCTATAAGATCACATGATACATTTAGGGGACTAACCAACTAGTTCAGCTTAGCTGAAGTGGAAGAGTGCATGGAGGATAATAATATGAGATAATGCTGAAAAAGCAGAGTAGCACCAGGTGATAAAGGGCTTTGAAATCCAGGGAAAGAAGTCTGAACATCACTTAGGATGCTTTAGGAAGATATTGAAGACGTTTGAACAAAAGAATGACATGACTGTATTTGTGCATAAGATTCAATAAATCCATATATATATATACTTATCAAATACCTACTATGTGCCAGGTACTCAGAATACAAAGACAAAAATGAAACTAGTCCCTGCTCTCAAGGAGCGTACATTCTAAATTATTCTAGTAGTGGTAGGATAAAGGATGAATTGGAAGGGGGACTATGTTATGGTTAAAATTTTTATTTCTAGCACCTTTCCCCCTCTTATTCCAATTTATCTTTATATTGCCTGTTTGTGCATATTTGTTTGCTTGTTTTCTCCCCCATTAGATTGGGAGCTCCCTGAGGGCAGGGACTGTCTTTTGCCTCTCATTGTATCCCTAGAGCTTAGCACAGTGCCTGGCACATAATAGGAGCTGAGTAAATGTTTACCAACTGACTGACTGACTGACTGGAAAGGGTATTACAATAGTACAAGTAATTACTAATGAGGTCATAGACTAAGATGGGGAAAGGGGAAAATTGCAAAGGATTTTGTGGAGGTAGAAATAACAGGACCTATTTAAACTGGATACAATGGATTTGGGAGAAGGAAAAATCAAAGAGAACCCAAGATTTCAAATACAGGAGAATGGACGAATCCCTGTGTGACAAATATCAATATTGAAACACAATGGAAACAGGTCTGGGGGAGGGAGATAATAAGTTTGATTTTGGACATGATGAGCTTGAGGTCCTGGTGGGACACGAAGAATAAGATAATTGAAGGCAGCTGGAGATGTGGATCTAGAGCTTAGAAAAAAGGTAGAGATTGGATATTTGGCTTTAGGGGTCATTTGCATAATCATGTTAATTGAATGAGATTACTGAGGCAAAGAATATAGAAAAAGAAACAGGAGGGCAAAGATTAAACATATGAACACCCAAAGGACCAGGAAAAAGATAAAGCACTATGAAGTAGACAAAGAAATGGTGGTTGGAGAAACAATAGAATAATAAGGATCATAGAGTGTTTCTGAAATTAAAATTGAAAGAATATCCAGTAGCATGGAGTGGTCAACTATGTGAAAATCAGGAGAGAAATCAAGGAGGCTGAGGCCTGAAAAAGTTAACTGCATTTGGGGTACTGATTATTTTTGAGGGAGTAGATTACTGACATTTTTTTTCCAAGAGGTTTAGCAGTAAAGATGAGGAGAGAGATGAGATGATAGGTTAGATAGGATAGAAGGGTGAAAATAAGTCTTTTTTTAAGGTTATGCAAACATAAGTGTTTGTAGACAAATGGTAAGAGGTAAAGGACAAATCAAAGATACATGCGAGAGATAGCATGAGTGTTAGAGAAAAGTCCTGGAGGAGATGGGAAGGAATGAGATCAAAGGTACAGGAATTAACCATAGGGATGAATAGGGACATCTCTTCTATTATCAACGAGGAGACAATTAACAATAATATTCAGAAGTTTTGAATGAAAGAAGGTTAAGGAAATTTATATTGGACAGCTTCCATTTTTTCAGGAAAGTAAGACTAGGTCATCTGCTTGAAGTGTGGGGGAAATGGAATTGCGGAGGAGAAAAAGTTTGCAAAATATATTCTAGAGCTGATTAAGAATGAAGTGAATTAAGCTTAGGCCAACATCTTATGCCATATTCTAGAATAGTATGAGGTCACACATCTAAATTGATACATGACCTTACAGTTAAAAAACCTACTGAAAAAAATGGAGGGAGGCAGGTTATATACCTCTCACAGGTATAGGTAGGACATGTATTCTTAACCAAACAAGAAAGAGAGATAATTATACAAAATCAAATAATTCACATAGGATAAGAAGGAAAGGAGTCAAATGGGAAAATACCTTTTTCTCATATATCTCTGATAATGTTTTGGTGTCCAAGGTATTTAAACAATTAATAAATATGTATAAGACTAACTGCCATTCCCCAATAAATAAGTTGTCAAAGGATATGAACAAATGGATCTCAAAAGAAGAACTGCAAAGTATTCACAACCACATGAAAGAATGCTCCAAGGAGTTATGAAAAACTGAGACACTAATGCACTGTTAGCGGAATTGTGAACTGATCCAACCATTCTGAAGAGCAATTTGGAACTATGCACAAAAGGTTACAAAACTGTGCATACCCCTCAACTCAGCAATACCGCTACCAGATCTATATCCCAAAGAGAAGAAAGAAAACAGAAAAGGATCTATATGTACAGAAATATTTATAGCAGTTCTCTGTAGTGGCAAAGTATTGGAAATTGAGGGTATGGCCATCAATTGGTGAATGGCCAAAGAAGTTGTGGGATATGATTGTGATGGAATATCATTGTATCATTGTGCTATAAGAAGTGATGATTAGAATGTTTTCTGAAAAACCTGGAAAGACTTACATAAACTGATGCAAAATGAATGGAACAGAACCAGGAGAATATTGTACATAGTAATAGCAATACCGTGTGATGATCAACTGTGAATGACTTAGCTACTCTCAGCAATACAATGATTCAAGACAATTGTGAAGGGGTTATGATGAAAAATGTTGCTGACTTTAGAGAAAGAATTGATGGAGTCTGAATGCAGATTGAAGCATACTTTTTTTTACTTTATTTTTTTCTTGGTTTCTTTTTGGTCTGTTTTCTTTCACAATATGGAAATATGTTTTGCATGACTGCACATGTATAATATATATAAAAATTGCTTGCCTTCTCAAGCAGGGGGGAGGAGAGGAAAGGAGAGAATTCGGAACTCAAACTTCTTTTTTTAATGTTAAAAATTGCTTTTACATGTAATTAGAAAAAAATATGTAAAAATTTCCCCCCAAAATGCTCCAAGTCAGTAAGTATATACATGTATACATACATACATACATGGTTTCATGCACGTGTATATATGTACATGTATAGATGCATTCACGTGCATATGTTTAGATATATGAGAAAAATCAGTTGTATGACCTTGGGCAGGTACTTTAACCTTTCTTAGCTTCAGTTTGTTCGTCTATAAAATGGGGATCTTAACAACATCTAATTCATAAGTTCTTGGGATAATGCAGTGAGATAATATCATATAGTATACTCAAACATTAAAGTGTTACATAAATGTTATCTATTATTTTTATATAAACTCACAAATACATGCATATATATATGCATACATATCTGTGTGTGTGTGTGTGTGTGTGTGTGTGTGTGTGTGTGTGTGTATGTATGCTTTTGGGGAGTTAAGGAGAGAAACTTTTGATTTCATTGATATAGGGAACTTCCACTGAGGAAACTCCCCTTACCATCATCTGTAACTTATGGCCTTAGAGAGCTGCCTAGACAATTAAAAGTTAAATGACTTATGCAAGGTCATATAGCCTTTATGTGTCAGAGATGGGACTTGAACGCTGGTTTTCTTGACTCTAAGACAAACTCTACCCATTACAGCACATAGGCTCTCATAATATGCTAATAGCACATAAAAATGAATTAATTTTCTGTTCCCACATATTAAACTAATATCAGCCATACAACCCATCTTACCTGGAACACCACTCTGGATTTCTCTAAAAGATAAGTTCTCATGTTGGCACCAATAATTCGATATCTCTTATCAAAACCAATCTCGATGTATTTCCCAAAACGGCTGCTGTTATCATTCCTCGTGGTTTTAGCATTTCCAATTGACTAGGAGATAAAAGAAAGAAGAACTTAATGGTTTAAATATATCAAGAATTTTTAACATTTATAAGAGGATTCTGGAAGACAACAGGGCCCAGCTTTTGGAAAGGCACCTTCACCTTTAGACGGGCACCATTTTTGTAATTCTAGATAATCATTGCCCATGGTTTCCCAATTTCACTCACTATATAAGGCTATATCTAACAAGTTACTTCTCTGAGGAAAAACTTGTGGCTAACAATTGAGTAACTGTCAAAAAGCATTTAACCATAATGTCTATAAAAACCAGAAAGCTTTTCTACATAAAAGCAGGTTGGGAGAGGGCAAAACAGAAGTCACCAAAGCATCTTGGCTATTGGGTTTCAATCTTCTTGGCCCATAAAGCAGGTTCCTCTCTGCTGCCTACATTGAAGAACCTAACCTAGCTCATCCAAATATTTTATTTTAAATAAAAGCATATTTTATTGGAATACAAGTTTTCTTGTAAACTATCATTACTAATCCCCAAGAGCTCACAGACTCACGTAATTATTTGCAAATAATCACTCACTGTTAAACAAAGTTTATATAAAACTTGGCTTAAAAGTCTATCAGACACTTGACAATTACTGGCTGTGTAACCCTGGGCAAGTCACTTAACCCTGATTGCCTCACCAAAAAAAGGGGGAAAAAAAGTCTGTCTATAAGTATGATAATTTATATCTATAATGAAAAGCATCATCTTATTTCTACTAGAAAGTTACAAAGAATATCATATCTTCCAAATTACAATATAATTTTAGAAAATATAAATCTATATTTTTTTCTTTTAAAACAAAGTAAAAATAGTGAAGAAACAATACAAAGTAATTTGGCCACCTTATAAATGTTTTTACTCAGGAAATTTCATGGATTAAAATCTACAAATTCAACAAAGCTTAGTGATCTATTTTTGTCACAGTCCTCTGCATTGGAATAAGGTTTGCAAGCCCTTGAAACTTGCATCTAACCTTGTGGGAAACATATGTGATCACAGGCTTTAGCATGTGCCTGGTCTTTTTTCCCCCTGGATGAAGGCACTTTCAGAATTTAGGTTGATGTAGGGCCAAGGAAAATAAATGGAAGTAAGGAGCTCCAAATTGGGATTCTAGCTCTAACTAGAATCTGGCAATAAGATCTCCAGCAAGCCTACTTCTAGCAATCCACAGCTTTTTGTGTTTCTGTTTCCTCATTTTAAAAATAGGGAATCTGAAATCAATGATCTTTAAGATCTTTTCAAGCTATAGGATTCCATGATTTTAAACCTCAAACCTGAACATTTTGATTAAAAGGAAATTGCAAATGTAGACATCACCTTTCAATCAATCGTTTTTAAAATTCTGACACCAGTCTTCTGAAGTAGTTGTTTATTCCAACCAACAAAAAACTGCTAAAAGAAGAAAAATTTTAGGAGTTCTAGACTTTGATTAAATCTGCAACTGATTTTGAGGAGCCTCTGAATGAGTCAATGTTATACATCAATTTATAAGGAAACATTTATTAAGAGCTTATTAAGTGCCAGGCACTGTACTCAGACTTGGGGATACAAAGAAAATGTATAAATAGTCCTCAACCTCCATAAGCCTACATTCTAAAGTAAATGAAGATAAAAATCTCTACAATTAATCTCTCAGATTAAACAAGGCTGCTGAAATTATGGGGAACTAGAGTTCAAACACTACCATGATTTTCTACCACATCCATTTCTGAATGGAAAAAATCAGGGGTTAAAGTTAGGGAAAGGAAAAAATAATGTGAAAAAACAGAGTCATCAGATACATCTTTGTTCATTATTGTCTAAATAAATAGTGTACAGTAAGAACCAAGGTCATAATAGATTAAGTGCTGGGTTTGGAGTCAGGAACACCTGAGTTTCTATGCCCAAAGGGCTACAAGAATGTGCATACCCTTTGATCCAGCAATAGCACTTCTACAGCTATATCCCAAAGAGATCAAACAAATGGGAAAAGGACCCACATGTACAAAAATATTCATAGCAGCTCTTTTTGTGGTGGCAAAAAATTGGAAATTGAGAGGATGCCATCAATTGGGGAATGGCTGAGCAAGTTGTGGTATATGAATGTAATGGAATACTATTGTGCTATAAGAAATGATGAACAGGCTGACTTCAGAAAAACCTGGAAAGACTTATATGGTCTGATGCTGAGTGAAGTGAGCAGAGCCAAGAGGACTTTGTACACAGTAACAGCCATGTTACACGACGACTAATATTGTTAAACTGAGCCCTTCTCAGCATTACAAGGATCTAAGACATCTCTAGAGGCCTCGGGATGGAAAACGCTCTCCACATCCAAAGAAAGAACTATGGAAGTTGAATCACTATCACTTATTTTTACCTTCTGTTGAGTTTTGTTTCATCTTTCTGATGGTTCCTCCTATTGGTTTTAATTTTTACTTACAACTTCACTAATGTGAAAATATGTTTAATAGGAATGTAAATATAAAGCCTATATCAGATTGTACGCTGTCTTGGGGAGGAAGGGGGAGAAAAATTTTCATCTCAAAAGCATATGGAAGTGATTGTTGATAAATCAAAATAAATTAATAAATTTTTTTTAAAAAAGGGGAGAAAAAAAAGGAAGACCTGAGTTTAAATCCTGCCTCAGATACTTAATAGTTGTGTGACCTGGCAAGTCATTTTCAGCCTCTTTCCTCATCTATAAAATGAAGACGTTTAATTAGGTGATCTCTAAGGCTTTAAATCTACAATCCCTATAATTACAAGCAACAGGATAAATTCCTTCAGGAACTTATCTGTTGAATATTTATTATCCCAACTAAAGGACTGAAGTTCTATGCCTGACATTGTTCATAACATAGTTAGACAGACCTGGTACACAGACATGAAATTTTGAAGCACAATACAACCTTTCTCCCTGTAACCCCTTTTTCTGCATTCTTTGGCTGCATATTCCTTTTTCAAATTTCAAACAGAAAGGTCCCAGATCTGTTATTTAACAATAAAAAATACTTCTCTTCACCCTTATTCCTAATCCATGTTCCTTTTGCAGGTTCAGCATTCAGTTAAATCCAGTTACCTAATCCTTCCACCTTTTCATTCTTTTCCTCCTTCCCCTCTCTCTGCAATCCCTATGGTCAACCCAAAGCTTTATATCATCCCTAGCAACAGGAGAACAATTGAAATGAAAGGAAAATGAACATGGTTTCTGAAGGGAGCTTCCAGACATTTCAGAACAAATCATTCTGATCTGTTGTATAGTCTAGCCCCTGTATCCTTCACGGGGTCCACTCAAATGTCAGAAGGCCCTGACAGGGGCTAGCTCCCACTCAGCATACCACAAGAAATCTGATTGGTATACAAGTAGACTGGACAATGTTTCTTGGTGTAGGTTATAGATGAGGTTTCTCATATTAGGACCAGCAACCTGAATGATATACAAACCCAGTCATGGCAAGCCATTCAAGGTGCTGAGATGACATTTTTAAAATTAAGCTAGAAATAGGCATGACAATGAGAGGAAGCAAAATATAGCTTTGGTTTTTTCTTAATCCAAACCAACAACTAGTTAGTTCTACAAGTCACTATTTCACCAATGGTAGTAAAGGTGGAATCCACCATCACTTGTTCAGAATTTGAAATGGACCCTCTGAGAAAATGAATAAGAACATCTGCTTCAAAAACGTGAAGATATCTAAAATTCTTGATCATTCTCTTTCAAAATAGGCATTTTTTTTGCTTTCTTCCATTTGCATGCTATTTTCAACCACATTTCCATTTCTCACAGGAAACTGCTCAACTCTCCCCACAGATCTATGCCTTTACATCGCAACAAAAGTGGCAATCAGGATGAGCCAAGGGACAATCCTAAGGATGACTAGGATATGTCATCATTTTCAAACTCCACACAGCACTGCAAACCAGACACAATTACCTTGGGAAAGACTACTGCAAAAACCCCTTGTGCCCCAGTTGTGTTAGATCAGTTTTAACTTCATCTGTGCTTTGGGTGACAAGAAAGGCTTGACGAAGAAGAAAGAAGGGATAAAAAATATTGGTATGAAATTCTAATTGGAAGCATTCACTTCTCTGAATCCAAATGAGTACTATTGTTTATTCATTTAACTGTGCTTCTTCCAAAATAGCCATTTTCCTTTTAAACACATAACTAAATTAATAATCCTGGAAATACTATTATTGAAATGTTTAAATTCTCTCACCTACAACATAAGTACCATTTTCTCTGGCCCATACATTTCTACTACTTATAAGTATTTCTATTTAAAATATGCTCTTTTATAAAATTCTTCCTCCAACAAATCTCATATTGTTACTAATCTTATAATTCAAACATTTTAAAAAGAATAGTATTGTTTTATCTCCTTCTCTGAGCTAAAATCATGATATTAGACAAGAAAATAACAACATTAGCTAAGGTATTAAAAAAAAGGGGAGGAAAAAATTTTAATTACTGTAATATAGTCATGACAGTGAAACCTGAGTTCAGCATTTATTATAAGAAATAACATTTTCAGGGGGAGAAAGGCAGGAATCAGTCTAACTAGATACTGCAGAAGCAGACAATAAAAGCAAGACCCTCCTGTAACTCATTAATTTATAAGCAGTAGTAATGAATCCAGTATATTTGCAAAAGTATAAATAAGAATAGATAACACCACCAAATATCACAAGTCATATTTCATTCATTTAACCTAGGCTGAGGAGAACTTCAGTGAATCCAAAGACTTAGGCTCCCAGAATATCGTAAACTAGATGTGACAATGTATTTGTCTGGAAAAATAAAAGCTTTAACAAGATGAGTCATCACTCCTTTCTACTTATAGGAAATGAGTGAACTTGGGGTGAAATTCATGGGGCATATAGTATAAGGCATACGTTTCTAATATAACCTCAGGTACAACTTACCTAAGATTTTCAGCAAAATAAAAATGTTTTAACAGATTTAACTAGTAGATATAAACAAATGGGCCAGTAAGGTATAACCATGTGCCTAATTCTATTACCATGTAAGTGACTGCCATTAGGTGTCACACTAATACACTTAGATCAAATATTAATTGTCATTACAGCTGAATGCAACTAATTTTATAATTAAATGCATGTGGTCCAAACACATATTAATTTCTAATGTTGTGGCCTACTAGTGAAAAATTTTGACATCTTTAACTTAAACTAAGCATATATGAACATTTCTTAAGCTCATTGTGGCGACATTAGCCTTACTGAAAATGTCTGACTATAAGAATTTTCACTAATTTCCTATATCCCTCTCTATGTTCATAATTTCATTTTCCAAATAATAAAAAACAGACCCCAGATTTTATTACTTATTTTATCCTGAAGTGCGATATTATTTATATACTTCACATTTATCTCAGGCATAGTTAACAAGAGCAATACCACATTCAGCAGTAAAGGCTGAGGATGCTGCTACCTTACCTCCATAATGGGATTAGAGGCCAGGACTTTCTCTTCAACATTGGCCTCACTGGCAGAACCACTCACAGTTGCAAAGTATCTCATGGCATACTTAGCAGAGACTGTCTTTCCTGCACCAGACTCTCCACTTACAATGATGGACTGGTTCCGTTCATCCCTGAAATACAAAGACTGTTAATCTCCAGCTGCTTCTCAAGCCTGATTGTAGACAGTATTATTTTCTGGCCAAATGAAAATACCACACTTCTACAAGTTTATTCATGTTGAGATACATAAGAATGAATGAGGCCAGTCTATTCCTTAATAACAACCACCAGCACTGTGCTGAAATGAATAAACATCTGCCATGGCCTCCCATGAGTGAATGGGTCTAGACAAAGGCTCTTTGAATGGTTGCACACATGCTTCAAAGTATGTGCGTACTATTCTGTGCCAAACAAATAATATGGCCACCAATCTAAAAAAAAGGTAGGAGTTGTTTCTCTGGTACCTTAGCAGAGAAATTGATAGGAAAAGTCTGTATTACTAAAAAATTTTGAGTCATTTACTTGTATACTGGTAGCTGCCGAAGAATGAGTCTACATTTCAAACTCTCTTGACTTTCTTAATACAAGCAGGGAAGAAAATGGTTCAGATACTGGCTAGATTGGTTAAAAAAAATAGAATATTTTATATGCCATTAACACAGTATTAATCACAGTGCAGTTACTCTCCTACCTTCCATTCATTCATACAATGACTTAATTCATAACTTATTTCAATGAACATTCCTGGTGCATAGAGGATTCCCCTTTCTGACCGTGATGGATGCCCAGAAAAGAGAGGCAAATTTCCACCGAGACCATAGGGTACCAAGAAATGGCATCATTTATACCTATATTTGCAAAAATGCAATTTGCCTTTGAAAAAAAGTCTTTAATGGCAATACTCTAAAAGGCCAAAAGTTGGAGATGTTTTCCACGGACATGGATGACCCTTTTAAAAAAAATGAGATGCAGTATTTCCTAATTTCCAGATTAGTAAATTTGGGGTTTTCTGTGCCAGGAAAGGGAAATGAGAGGATTTCAAAATCTTTGCCTAAAAAAAATTTAGATTGTAACTGAAGCACATTTTATAAAAAATTCTAGTCTTGCTGACTTATTTTTCTTAAAATGTATAATAGAGGTTTAACTCCACCCTCCTACCCCCAATAAGGAAATATTAGTAAATTCATTATATCTTTAGAATCTTAGTAGATTACTTATATCAGGGGCAGTTAGATGGTTCAATAGACAGTGAGGATGACCTGAATTCAAATCTGGCCTCAGACACTTACAAGCTGTGTGTCACTGTTAGCCCCTGTTTGTTGGTTTCCTCATCTATAAAATGGGGATAATAATAGTACCTACTTCCCAGTGTTGTTGTGAGGCTCAAATGAGATAATAATTGCAAAGCATTTAGCATAATGCCTGGCACATAGTAAGCACTATATATATGCTAGCTATCATCATCATCATCATCATTATTGGCTATTAGATATTGGATATTAGATATTGGGCATCACAGATATATTTTCATAATTCAAGGCACAATGATTTAGTTGCATGTGCCCATAAACATGAAGTATAATTATTTAAAAGCTAAATGATACTTATTTGGGGTAAATTCTGTGGAGTTGGGTTTTTTTTTGATATCTCAAAATTAAATTGCAGGAAAGGGTCTGAGGGCGTTGCTTTTTCTTGCCTTGCCACATATTACTGGAACACTCTGGATTGTAAGAGAGAGTATATTCATGATGTTTAATTACTTTGAACGTTCATAGCTAAACATACCTTTCAAAACTTTCCTGAGTAATGAGAGTTTTCTTTCCCCCCCTTTTGTCTCAGAGTTCTAGCTACAAAGATCAATCAACAACCATCTACTGACCAGCTAGTTGCCTTTGGATGCTGCAGCGCTAGGTACTAGGTACTAGGAGTATACAAAGACATGTGAGTCATAGTTCCTGCCTTCAGAGTGGCTTACCACATGGCTGTAGAGAGAAGACAAACACTCCAAAACAAATCAGTGGCTCTACAAAGCGGTCAGTGATTCATGCATGAATTCATTCCTTCAACAAGCATTTATTAAGCCCCTGCTCTGTGGTGGGCACTTTGGCTAGGTACAAATAGAGGCAAAAACAAAAAGTCTTTGCCCTAAAGAACTGACATTTTATTGAAGGGAAGTAACACTCACATAATAAATAAACAAAATGTATACAAAATAAATGCAAAATAAGTTAGAGAGAAAGTACTTGCAACTAGGGGTGATCAGGAAAAGAGGCAGGAGGAACAAGCACGTAAGCAGAGCTTTGAAGGAATCTAGGGATTCTACCATGGGGATGTGAGGAAGGAAGGGATTCCAGGCCTGGGAGACAGTCAGTGCAAAGACACGGAAAAAGGATAAGGAGTTTTGTGCATGAAGAACAGCTAGAAGGTCCGTTTGGCTAAAATGCAGAGGGGAGTGAAGGAGAGCAATGTATAATAAGGTGGGAAAATGAGGTTGGGACAGACATAACAGGATTTAAATACTAAAGCAATTTGTTATTTTGTCCTAGAAGCAATCAGAAGCAAGAGCTCTTTGAGCAAGGAAATGACATGGCCATGCCTCCTGAGCTTTAGGAATATCAACTGATAACCAAAAGATATGTGCCGAAGGATTTTTTTTGGGGGGGTGGAGGGGAGAAGGGGGACCAGACTTGTGATTTTCATAGGTATAACTCCCAGATGACAAAGCTCCTTTTTTCTATGCAAATCAGCATCTGTTCTAAAATGTATAGTCTTAGTTGTCTGGGGAATTGAGAGATTAATGTGACCTGATAGGGTCAAACAGACAGTATATATCAGATACAATACTTGAACCCATGTCCAGTCTTCTTGGCCTGCTTGCTTGACCTCACCCCCAGCATTCTATTGTCCGTCTCCATGCTTTTGCGCGGACTGTCTTCTCCATGCCTGGCATGCTCTCCCTCCTAACTTTCAACTCTTAGAATTCCTGGCTTTCTTTAACACTCGATTCTAAGGCTTTCTCCTATAGATGGCCTTCCCCTCTAAAACTATCTGCCATTTTCTCTTCTCTATACTCAAGCACATGTTGTCTTGCCCATTAGAGTATAAACTCCTTGAAGGCAGGGACTATTTTTGCTTTTTCTTTGTATCACTAGGACTTAACCCAGTGACTGCCAAACAGTAATCACTTAATAAATGCTTGTCGCAAAGCAATGGAGCAGGACCCATTGGAGGCAAAATCTCCATATACCTTGTACTCTGAAACCATGAAGCTCATCAGGTTAATGTCCTTACTATGATCATTTTCATTATCTCATTTCAGTCATAATTAGAACCTGCCATATTTTAAAAAATATAATTTTAACATATTAATGATTTGTCCAAAGCATCTTCATTTCTGAAGTCATCATAATTAGTTCTTGCCCTTTTATTAATGTCATAGAAAATTTATAATTGATAGACATTGCTTTTACAAATTAGCCCCTTTAGAGTTTTTAATGTGAGTGTTATAATTCGCAATATTCATAAAATTAAAATGGAAATGTAGTGGGTAGAAATAAAATATAGTCATTTCACCATTTGGCAACCAAAAAAAAAATGCTTGTTGACCGATTGCACAAGGCAATATGTTACTTCTAGTTTAATGACAAAGCTGATGCTACGATCCAGGCAATCTGGTGTTCTACCCAGGGCTCTTTCCACCACACCATACTGCCTCAACAGTTTCAGATTGTAACTTTCTGGTTGTGTAGAAAAGAGATAGCTCTGAATTCAAAAAGAACAAAGATCTAGCAATGTGTTTGTGTTTCTGTTTGTTTCACAGGGAAATTCAAACATAGGCAATAGATAGGCCAACATCCTTGAGGTCTGAAAGTAAATTTCTAAAACCAAAGTATTGATTCTGACATGCACAAAATCTTTAGGATTCCATGGGAAAAGAAATCTATTTCAAAAATAAGCGTTAAAATTTGAAAATAAAAGCTTCTTCCCAGGGCAGACAGAATTATTTTAAATTGCTATGAACATTTCAAAGAGTAGCAAAAATAGGTAATAATTTAGTCTGATCCAAAGGTCAGGTTATATACCAGAAGGATGCACATCATGCCCCTCTTCTTCCTCACATTTTCATCTCCCCATCTCTCTCTATCTTGATTCCTCTGAATTTTTTTTTTCTGAGAATAACTTGCCTTTCTATTTCACCCTATGAAGTTATAAAACCTCTTTATCCTAAAGGTCAATGAACCTGGGCTCTCCAAGACTAAGCCAAGTACAAGCTCTGGCAGGTCCAACCAATCTACAAATGTTTCAAGTAAAGAACTTGACAGATGGCATATTCTACCCCAACAATGCTAGAACCAACTAAGCTGTAAAAACTCATCAACAGTCTGGCCACAGAGTGTTGAATTTTTAAGCCAAAGCAAGTCCTGAAGACTGCCATCCATGTGGACAGAAGGAGTCCTCATAACAGATAAAATCATCGATCCTCTCTATGTATTTCTAAACATTGGAAATATCTCAATATATCCAAATATTGAAAATCTTATGGCTATGAAGTTCTTTATATATAGTATTTCATTGAGTCCTATTAAGTGTGAAGTGAAAGTATTCATATTCTTGCCATGCTACATGGTGCCTGAAAGAGTGATAGACTTAAATATGCCATCCTAACAATGTGACCATGAACAGGACACTTAGCCTCTCAGCTTCAATTGCCTCACCTATAAGATGGAAATAATAGTACCTGTAGAATCTATCCTACAGAGTTGTTCTAAGAATCAAATAAGATCATGTATACAAAGGTACTTTTAAACCTTAAAAAACACTATATAAATGTCCATTACTATTACTCTTATTCTCATTTTACCAGGTAGGAAAACATGAGTTTACTATTTCTGGAGAGATATTTAGACCACATTCCATTCTTAAATGGAAGTATTGTGAATGCTTAAAAAATAAAGTAGTAATCACTAAAAGCCAACATGGTTGCATCAAGTATAGGTCATATGTTAACAACAGACATATGAAAGAATGCTCCAAATTAAAAATAAAAGAAATGAACATCAAAACAATCCTGAGGTTTCACTTCACATCCTGAAAATTGGCAAAAATGACAATACAAAGGGATAGTCAACAT